CCGGCCCGGGATATTGCTACGCGTGTACCTGCTAAGCAAGGAGACATGAAACACCGGGTGTACCGGCACCGACTTCGGCAGGACTAATTCATAATCCAAGTCTCCGAGCTTTTGCCGCACGGCATATGGTCCGAGGCGCTTGGGACTGAGCTTTTTGCTTGGCTGTTTCAGCTTAAGGTTCCGAGCGTCTAGCCAGACCTTGTCCCCCGGCGCGAAGACCGGTGCCTCCTGCACGTGCTTGTCGTAGTACACCTTCATGCGCTCGGCCGACAGCTCGAGCGCAGAGCGCGTATCGTCGTGAATCTCTTTCAGGATCTTGAGCCAATCAGCGGCCGCAGGCATCGCAGACATCGGATTGATCCGCACTTGGATCTCAGGATTGTACCCCTGATGCAGGAAGAAAGGGGAGTGCCCGGTCGCGGAGTGAACTCGGTTGTTCAGTGCAAATTCCGCGAGCGGCAACTGCTTTGCCCAATCATCCTGCCTGTGGCTTGTGAAAGCGCGCAGGTACTGCTCAATCTCCTGGTTCCAGCGCTCAGTCTGGCCATCTGTCTGGGGGTGGAACGCTGTGGACAGTGCCGGCTCGATTCCCAGACCCTTGTACACCGCATGGAGATACTTCGAAGCAAACTGGGGACCTCAGTCTGATATGACCTTGGCCGGGGCCCCATGATGCTTGAACACATCGCAGATGTACAGGTCTGCCGCACCTTCTGCCGTCAGGGTCTCATGACAGGCCGAGAAGTGGACCTGCTTTGTAAAGCGGTCGGCGGTAACCAGGATCGAGTCAAACCCATCAGACTTTGGCAAGCCAACGATCATATCCGTGGTGATGATCTGCCACGGGCGCTCAGGGATCTCGTTCGGCTTCAGCGGACCCTGAGGCTTGGCTGGGAATGTCTTGGTACGGTTGCACACATCGCAGGTGCTTACGTACTCATTGACGAATTTGGACATCCCAGGCCACCAGTAATTCCGCGATACGAGCTCCAGGGTTTTGGCACGACCGCCATGACCGGCGATCGGCGAGTCGTGGTGGATTTTAACGATATCCCGCCGGAGCTCTGCGTTCTTTGGGACGTACACGCACCCGCGGAACAGCAGAAGCCCTTGTTCGGCATTCCATTCCTCAAAACCCCTTTGCAGCCGGGGCGGCCCGAGGTCCTGCACCTTTTCAAGTGCCTCGGCCACCTCCCGATCCTTCTCCGAACATTCCCTGATGCGCTTCAGAAGTGACTGATCGGCCGTCACCGAAGCATGACCACGCCTGGCAGAGGCAATGCGGAAGCGTTCCGGTTTGAGGACCACCTGATCGGTGTTATCGTCCTCATCGCCGATTTGATGGTCTGATCGGCACGATAGGGCATCAGCCTTTCCATTGGACGTTCCGGCTTTGTGTGTGATGCGGAAGTTGAAGCGAGCTAGGAACAGTGACCAGCATGCTTGGCGACGCGTGAGATGCTGAGACGTGCGCCAGTACTCGAGGTTCTTGTGATCGGTGACGATCTCGAACTGATTGGGTAACCCCTCGAGGTAGTGGCACCAATCATCTAGTGCTTCGATGATCGCGAGCATCTCTTTATCGTAGATCTCGTAGTTCCGCTGTGCTGGATCCATCGCATGGGATCTGAAGGCGATGGGATGCCATTTGCCATCATCCTGCTTCTGCATCAATATGCCGCCAGTGGCGTAGCCCGAGGCATTGACTTCAATGCGCGTTTCTCGATTAGGGTCGTACAGCGCTAGAACTGGAGTCGTCGTGAAGAGCCGCTTGAGCTCATCGAAGGCATGTTGCTCCTCTTCACCCCAATGCCATGGGTCGTTCCCTGTGAGCCGGTCGAGTGGTCGCGAGATCTTAGCGAAGTCCTTAATGAAGCGGCGGTAGAAATTGGAGAACTCTCGGAACTTCTGAACATCTTTTTTGTTCCGGGGTACCGGCCACTCATTAATTCCTTTCAGCTTTGCAGGATCCATCGCCACCTCATCGCCACCGAACACATAGCCGACGTAGTCGACCTTGGGAACGTCCCATTCGCACTTCTCAGGCTTCAGAAACAGATCGTTATCCTGAAGGCGGCGTAGAACCTCGCGTGTGACCTTTTCATGCTCCTCCTTGTTGGTGGAGAAGATGAGTATGTCATCCAAGTACACGAGGATCTTGCCACCGATGATGAGATCGTGGAAGATCTCGTTCATCATCGCCTGGAAGGTTGCAGGGGAGTTGGTGAGACTGAAGAACATCACCAGGGGTTCGTACAGCCCCCGGTTAGTCACGAAGGCCGCCTTCCATTCGTCACCGGCCTTGATCCGGACGTTGTTGTATCCCCATCGGACATCGAACTTGGTGAAGAGCGTGGCACCGCGGAGCTTATCTACCATCTCGGCGATCAGCGGCAAAGGATAGCGGTTTTTAACAGTGATCGCATTCAACCGGCGGTAGTCCTGTACAGGTCGAAGCGTCCCTTCCTTCTTTTTGATGAAGAAAAAGGGGGACGAAATGGGCGACTTCGACTCCCGTATGTAGCCCTTCGCTAGTTGCTCTTTCAGGAACTTGTCTAGTTCCTCCTGCTTGTTGTTTGACAAGGGGTACACCTTAGAGTGGAAGGTCGAGTAGCCAGGCACGAGTTCGATTGAGTGATCATACGGCTTCCTTTCGGGTAACCGTTCTGATGCTTCCTTGGAGAAGACATTCAGGAACTCGTGGTACTGTTTAGGTACCGACTCCTCGGCAGTCTTAACGACCTTCTTTTTGATCTCCTCCTCAGCGAACAGCTGGGAGTACGTATGTCCTGCTGCGACGAACAGCTGAGGAGCACCGGGAAGCGTGATGCCTTGCTCCCAGGCTTCGATCAAATCGACCTCATCCCACTCTACCTCCACCGGATCTTCCTCGGGTTCGAAGTCCGGGAGTACCTTACTCCGGCAAGCGCCTATAACCGACCGTTTGGATTTCGGCGAACGCCTGCGCGCCGTGGGCCTGTCCCCCGTATCACGCATAGTCGTTGCTTGCTCCATTCGGCCAGTCCTCCTGGCACTGCACGTTTCAGGGCATCGCGACAATTTGAGGGAGCCCCTCTCCCAATCGATCTCAGGGTTATGCTCACGTAGCCAATCCAACCCAACGATCACATCTTCTGGACCGATGTCCGTGACCGTGAACACTGTCTTCTCGACGTGCTCTCCTATATGCATCTGTAGCACTGCTACCTCCGAGATGCTTCCGTCCTTATTCAGGGTGCCGTCAATATTATACAGCGGAATTGGTTCCTTCAACTTCCGCATTCGTACCCGATTCTTCATGATGAAACGCTTGTTGATGAACTTTGTAGTGGCTCCGCTGTCCACCATTGCAACTATATCTTTGTGCCGTCTTTCTCCTTTGAGGCGCACTGGAATGTGAAAATGCTGGGACCCATGGTCCAATTCGTACACATTCGCAGTTGCCAATACATTGTACAGATTGTTACTACGCGGCCCGACGCGTGCGGCACGAAGCGCGGACCGGATCAAAAACCCTCCTCCTTCATCGCCCGATAATGCTCGAGCTCCTCGCGCATCGACTTCACCTGTGCCATTAAGTCCGCCAGCTCCGATTGCTCGGATTTCGCTGAAGCGGCACTTATACTTGCCGAGGGTGTTGTCGTGACGGGGGCGCTTGTCGCAGCCTGGGTGGAGCCCGAGGCAACCGTAGCCCGCGCATCAGCGCGTTTTGTGTAAGGCTTGTCCTTACAATTGGGGCACTCGAAACGTCGGTACCCTTGCTTCCCACAGCCAAAGCATGTGCCGGGGAAGTTTCCTTTTCCGACGGCCGCATTGATGCTGGCTGAAGCTGCGTGTGTCGAGGGTGCACCACCACGTGCCCCACCGCGTCCTCGACCTCGGGCCGAGAAGAAGTTGTTTAGCTCGGGCCTACGGGCCCAGCTGATATCGAGGATCTGCTCGACCTCGGTGGCGCGCTTCTCAGCTGCTTGCCATGTGGCGAAGGTCTCGAGCTCGATCTTGCGGTAGACACGGGAGGGGATGCCGCTCAGGTACTTGTCGCGTAGCTCCAGGTCCCCATACCCAGAGCGGTCCGCCAGACCCTTGAACAGCGCGGAGAATTCCGCGGCGGTGCGTTTTTCACGGACCGACTTGTCCGCGCAGAGCTTCGCCAGCTCTACTTGTGCTGCCGCCTCGTCATCGAGATTTCCGAAGCGGGCCCTGAAGGCGGCGGCAAAGGCCGCTTCGTTTGCGAACGGGGTCGTGGCCCCTTGCACACCCACCTGCACCGATGCGAGCTGGGCAAAGTAGGGAGTGGCCCAGGCGCGGGCATCTCCATTGAGTAGGCTGAGTGCGACCTGCACCTTAAGCTCGATGGTGGTTAACGACGTGTTGACCAGCCAGTAGATGCGCAACTGCGACAGGAACCGGTTGCATTCGATGACTGTTTTGCCATCGTATCGGAGTGGGAGAAGGAGCTTCAAAGTCTCCTTGTCGGGGGCGGCTGTAGGGGACGACATTATCGGCATCGGGGGGGACGGAGGACGCTGCGGGGGCGGAGGCGGCTGTGGTGGCCCTCCGCTGGTCGAACTTCGAGAGGAGCGAGTGCTCGAGCGGCCTCTCGGCGGAGTCGGCAGTGAAGGCGCCGAAGGAAGTTCGGCGGGGGGGTCACGTACGTCAGGGACTGCTGACGCGGGGGCGAGCGCTGGCGGCGAGGTGGACCCAGTAGAAGCCTCGGACTCGGACTCCGAGATTCCTTCTTCACCTGCACCCTCCTCAGGCTCAGGCTCTGGTGCAGGGTCTGGAGGGAGATCTCCTCGAGTTTGACTGGACTCGGCGACAGTTTGGGGAAGGCAGGAGGTAGGGGAGACAGGGCGAGAGTGCCGCGAGGCAGATCGGGATGCGAGGGTGCTTCGGGGTCCGAGCGGGTGTTGCGCTCGTCGGATCGCTTTGTAGCGAGGGTAATCCTCCTCGATCGATCGGGGTGTCCGGTTGGGGCACGGCTGCTGCTCGCAACGATAGAGGACAGTCTCAGGGCCGTCTGGGATGTAGACGTCGATGAGGTCCTGGGAGTCGAATGCGTGGATCTGGCCTTGGCAGGCAGCCACGATGGATGGGGGGAGGAAGGGGAGGTGCGCGTACTACGAAAGGCCGTGCTATACTAGCTTACACCTACGGCGCCCGAGAAGACACTAAGGTTCGCAGTTCACGTGGGGCCCAGTACTGCTTTTGGCTAGTATGCAGCAGGAACCTAAGCCACGCGTCCGTGAGGACAAGTATCGCCCACTGAAGTGCAGATACTGAAGAGTTCGTCCCTTAAGCGGTGGCGATGTATCGTAGGCTATCTAAGTATAGTAAAGTATAGTAAGGGTGCGCACCACCCGACCTATAGGAAAGGATAAAGTGAGTGTGTTCCGGTGAATGCCGGCAGCGGTGAGGAGTTTCGACCTAATGTCGCGACTTAGGGTCAAGCGACAGGAGGAAAACCAAACAA